CTCATGTATACACTACATCACAATAACGGGGCTGGACATAACACACCCCAACCCGTCCTCGACTCTAGTCCATTCCATCCAGCGGTCGACCCCACAGACGCATTCAAATTTTTTTAACATGCTGTTCATTCAAAACGGGAATTTTCTCAAATATAAATTAACATTATAATATATATTTTGGCATATTGTGCATATGTAGGCACTGGTTTGGTTTGGTTAAGTGTTTAGGTTCTGTTGGCGATTATTTGTAATTGTAATACGTGGGTGAAGCATTTATAGCGTTGTGGTTCGAACAAAATTGGTCAGTGAAGGACTTGTTCCGGAAGTGTTCGAACGTCATCAGTTGTGAGTCGTGTGTAAACCGTTTTTCATTCATAAGCACCTGGGGATTTGGCGGGTGCATGGACTCACTTTAGGGTCATTGTTTGGAAGACTGACTGCACACCCAACCAACACTCCTGAAAATAGAGGCGACGACCGAAGCGTCACTTTATTTTCAGATGTGTGGGCCAGGTGTCGAGTTCTGCACATGTAGGTTAATACTACACATTCCACAGGGCCTATAGAGAGAACGGAGAAGGAAATGAATTTACTTTACCAAATGCATCACAAAGTTTGATAATAAATCAGAACAATTCTAAAGTGAGTCGGGAACACCAGGAACACAAACCATTCATCAAGAACACAAACCACACGCCAGGAACACAAACCACTCGCCAGGAACACAAACCACACGCCAGGAACACAAACCACACGCCAGGAACACAAACCACACGCCAGGAACACAAACCACACACCAGGAACACAAACCACAAGCCAGGAACACAAACCACAAGCCAGGAACACAAACCACACACCAGGAACACAAACCACACACCAGGAACACAAACCACACGCCAGGAACACAAACCACACGCCAGGAACACAAACCACACGCCAGGAACACAAACCACAAGCCAGGAACACAAACCACAAGCCAGGAACACAAACCACAGATCAGGAACACAAACCACACGTCAGGAACACAAACCACACGTCAGGAACACAAACCACACGTCAGGAACACAAACCACACGTCAGGAACACAAACCACAGATCAGGAACACAAACCACACGTCAGGAACACAAACCACACGCCAGGAACACAAACCACACGCCAGGAACATAAACCACTCACAAACAATACAAACCACGGATCAGGAACACAAACCGTTCATCAGCAACACAAACCACACGCCGGGAACACAAACCACTCACAAACAATACAAACCACAGATCAGGAACACAAACCACGTTATTATCTCGCTAGCCTATCTGAACCTATCTGAAAACGATGTAAAAACAAAAACGGGAAAATGTCTCATTAGAAGACACTGCAGATGACATTTAAATATCAATATCTTCCGGTAAGCAACAAAAAACAGCACAACATTGAATTTGTAAAACAAAAAACTTTCAATATAGAACAGCGCTCAAAATAGGTAGTGAATAAAACAGTATTGATCGCGTACAGTGTGGTGACATAGGCTTTATCTCCTTCCACCTAAATACTGCTGAAATAAGAGCAGAAATTTAAAAAAAGGGGGATTTTTTTATTGGTGCCGTCCTATTGGACAAATTCCTGCAGTAAGTGCTGCATCGGTCGAATTTTAATGGATATGTGGACTTGTGAGCAAAGACAAGCAATAGCCTAACAAAATTGGGTTAGCCAAATATTGCAAGCCTAAGGCTATCTCAGCCTTACAAAATTGGGTTAGCCAAATATCGCAAGCATAAGGCTATCTCAGCTTTACTCAGCATATGTCTATAAGAAATACTAAAATACTGAAATACAAAGTTAAATCTAGATTCATTGAGGAAACAATCAGGTGGGTTACTGCTGCGACGAAGGCCTGCGATATGTAGGCACCAATAGCCTGGCTGATCTGAGGTTCACCAAGATAGACTGGTATCCGACATGTTGCGGAAGTAGCACAATGATCTCGGCACAAGCACAACAAGCAGATACTCCACCAGCACCATCCTAGAGGTGCTTTAGTAAGATACTGGAAACATGTCTAGTATTAATGAGCAGTAAACTCAGTACAACCATGTTTTGCAGCATTCAAGAAAAAAAATGTAATACTTTTAGTTTCGTTCACACACTTTTTGGTCGACCTCAGACTTGTAGGTGCCATGACTATCACAAAGGATGCGACTCACAACGGGCTACCAATATTTCTGGCTGACAGATAAGCAGTATGCGATTCAAAACGGGCGACCAACACTATTACCCGTAAGGTAAATAGGATGCAACCTACATGGGGTGACTAACACTACTGGCTACCAAATTAATACGGGACAACGCACAACGGGCGACCAACACTACTGGCTACTAAATATGCAAGAGACAACATCCAACGAGCAAACAACACTAGGTCGACCGTTCCGAAAACCTACAGCTACACCTACATGTTGTTGATCGGTGCTGTCTATAGGTTAAGGCACAATCGAATTAAGGATCCCGGTAGTACAGTCGGGTTTGTTCTCGACTCGCAATCTAGCATTCCGGGTTCGAATCCTGGGGGGGACAGAAATGTTTGGGCGCATTTGTTATAATCTTGTGCACCAGTTCACCTAGCAGCAATTAAGTACCCAGGAGTTATGCTACTTTCTGATTAAATTTTGTGTGTGTGGATAGGCAGGCAGGAAGGTTACTCAGTAGACAAAATATTAAAGTTCTTGCGAGGCATAATCAAGTGTAACATTTGGGGTTTACGGCTCATGCTCGGTCATGATATGGAAAATTGGTTTACCGAGAATTATATAAAATATATATAAGTGTAATAATTTCCCACGTAAATTGATGTAAATGTAATCTTTAAATTGTAAATCATTTAAGGAAAAAAGTATAACATTTAGGGGTTTGAAGTTCATACTGTGATATGAAACACTTGTTTAATGAGAATTATACTACTGTATATGTAATGTAGTATTTTCTTGTAAAATTGATGTATATATGATTTATATTGTATATTATTTAATAAAGATAAAAAAAAATTGGTATGGGGTCGCATCCTTGGGGGGGAAGGACCTCGACATAAGCCTAACACACACACACACACACACACACACACACACACACACACACACACACACACACACACACACACACACACACACACACACACACACACTCTCTGGCTCCCCCAACAATGAACAATTATTATTATTACGCTCTAAAACGCGAGCCGCAATAAAATTATGACGTCATAGTGACGTCAAATACCTTATCCATACCATACATAAAACTGAATTGACTCCTATTTTGATTGGGTTAGGTTGGGCTGGGTTTACTTACAGAAGCGATGGCGTAGTGGTGAACATTTGCTCAGGTCTATGATACTATTTTAATTTTGTTGATCGATTAAATCCGAGAAACGTAGGCTTACTCGAGTCATTCGTAGACCTACGAATGTCGGTGACATTCACAGAACCATCCGTGGCACTCAACACTGCCCGTGACATTCACAGGACCATCCGTGGCCACCAACACTGTCCGTGACATTCACAGGACCATCCGTGGCCACCAGCACTGTCCGTGACATTCACAGGACCTTCCATGGTTGCACAGGACCTAGTGAGAGCTCCTGCCTGGCGCCAGGCGTCACTTAACACCCTAACATTAGCTCTCACAAAAGGCTAAGACCAACACAGTGCAAGAGACCTATTGAATAGAAAGTGCAGAGACGATAATTTAAAAGTACGACTTGATCCATGCAGAGCACTCTAAGGGTTAACTCTGACCCCGGCATGGAACATTAAGACTGATCCAAAAATGAAGCTTTTGCCTAAAGGGTAACTTATCCCAACAAGTACACTTTAAGAGACGTTAGCCTCAGTCGGGCACTTGGCAGTAAAGTCACTGATCCCAACAGAGCACTAAAGGGTAACGATGACCCCAAAATGGCACTGAAGCCTCGACCCAAGACGACCGATTGACGATAGAAGCCTTGACCCCAGCCAGGCACTGAAACCTTGACCCCAGCCAGGTACTGAAACGTTGACCTCAGCCAGGCACGAAAGTCTTGACCCCAGCCAGGCACTGAAACCTTGACCCCAGCCAGGCACGAAAGTCTTGACCCCAGCCAGGCACGAAAGTCTTGACCCCAGCCAGGCACGAAAGTCTTGACCCCAGCCAGGTACTGAAACCTTGACCCCAGTCAGGCACGAAAATCTTGACCCCAGTCAGGCATTGAAGCCTTGGCTACGATCGAGAACTTATTAAAGGTAGAGGCCTTGATTCTACATAAATGATTGAACGGTAGAAACTTTGACCCTATATGAGCACTTAAAGCTAGAAACCTTGACCCCTGACTAGAGTAGAAGCCTTGAAAAGCCTCAGGGAAGCCGCATAGGACACCATGTACCCAGGGGGACACCTAGTAACCAGCACACTAGCCTAACACAAATCACAATTGCCATCCCAAGTTTTCCGCCGCCTCGAGTCTCCACGACACTGGGACTATACATCCCGCACAGACTATGAAAAACTGTTGAAGACAAACCAGTTAGGGGGAAGGAGACTGGACAGTTAGTGTGGAGAGAGTTGCTGCATCTTGGTATGGTGGCGGAGTAACTCCATACTCAGCACCACACTATACACACACACGCACTCCACTTCTTACACTCAAAGACATTTCAAGATTCTTGTTACATTTATCAGGTAAGAAATGTAATCGCCGAGATTTTATGAACTTTATCATTTGACCAAATGAACTTTTGTTCTGCATATAACTGAGTTCAATATATAACACTGGCGTTGTAAACATTTTTCACGAGCAAATGTGGCAGATGAACATAAATATGAGCATCGCCTCTCACAAGATAAGTTGATTACACTGGTGTCATTAATGGGGCTTGTTACAGTGTGTGGCAACACATAGCTAGTTCCCGGGGGCTACGGTGGCCCAGCCACACCACACACAACAGCCCTCAACGTCACGGACCACTTGGCTTACAGAGTGGAGTAGGAATGAGCAGTTAAGGAGGCACTATGGGTCCTGGAGTTCACTTATGAACAATATCACACAAACAGCGACGGTAACACACTCAAACACGGCCGCGGCGCCACACTTAACCCAACGTCTCGTACTGCACGCAACTTCTCGTACCGCATTTCATTATTTATTTAATTTTATTTATTTATTTATTTATTTTATTTACAGGAAATCATAATGAATTTTGTAAATATTTTGATTTTACAAGGTACACTGGTTGGGTATATTCTAGCTAAAGCTACCGAGATGAAACTTTCTCTACACGCAATATTATGACCTTGATAATACCCAAATGTAACTGGTAACATTTGAACCAAAAGAATATTTGGGGTAAAAACGACATACCCTCGGAGAGAGAGAGAGAGAGAGAGAGAGAGAGAGAGAGAGAGAGAGAGAGAGAGAGAGAGAGAGAGAGGTGTTGGTAAGGAGTGCATTGTGCTGACAAACAGTGAATCAAGAGGTTAACTGGACGGCCGGCCGCTTCACTAAGCTTGCCCCAAACCTGCACAAGTGACATTGGCAACAGGCGACCTCTCGCTTCCCAGTACACACAAGTTTTCCGTATATACGGTCATACACGTTTTTCACTAAATTATCTCTTTGGAAACAGAGTAATGGGTAGATGAGCTAGAGTATATACTACTACAAGTGGAAGACGCCTTATAAAGAGGTCTATCACTAAGATGGACGCAAAATATATATATACCTTTATACAAAAAGTATTTAGTATAATTAAACTACAACAATAATAAATAAATATAGATAGGTAAACGATATGAATAATAAATAGTGGAGAGTAGAGCATATATGACGAGGATTGACATTTGTTAATGACAGTTTAGGTGGCAGACGCCAACATTATCTGTGAAGGAGTGTTGTAGCGCGGCGAGGGAGGCGCCAGACGCGAACTTTAGTTCCTACCAAAGTGGTGAGGGTCGAGGACCACAACCAACCTTATGTTACACTCTTTACTACCCTCTTTACCTCACACTTTTATCAACTCCCACTCATATTTGTAATTAAACACCTTGTGTGACTGGCCCTGCCTTCATTATTTTGTTTGTTACAGAGTTGGGTAGAGTTGTGACGGCTGTTCCTCCCTGCCAACCCAACACAGCCTCTCAAAATGATGCAGGGGATGGAATGTATACAAAATATATATGGACGAAACCAATTCATTTCATAAGGCTATTGTTTTCAGCCAGAATCACCTTTATTTTCTAGTGTTACGATCATGTTAGTTACTGGAACAGCTGAGCCAGCTGACCTAGAGCCTTCACTACTCTCTTTCTCCCTCCCTCTTCTCTCTCTCTCGCCATCTTCTCTCTCTCTCTCTCTCCAGTGTCAAATTGATTTTTTTCCTGAGAGCATCTGTAGAGATCATAAGGTCTTCTGATCTCTCTCTCTCTCTCTCTCCCAAGTTATAAGGGCATCTTGGACCACGGGTGCTAGTATATAGGACCACGGGATGCTAGTATACAGGACCACGGGGTGCTGGTATACAGGACCACGGATGCTAGTATACAGGACCACGGGGTGCTAGTATACAGGACCACGGGGTGCTAGTATACAGGACCACGGGGTGCTAGTATACAGGACCACGGGGTGCTAGTATACAGGACCACGGGGTGCTAGTATACAGGACCACGGGGTGCTGGTATACAGGACCACGGGTGCTAGTATACAGGACCACAGGTGCTAGTATACAGGACCACAGGTGCTAGTATACAGGACCACGGGTGCTAGTATACAGGACCACGGGTGCTAGTATACAGGACCACGGGTGCTAGTATACAGGACCACGGGTGCTAGTATACAGGACCACAGGGTGCTAGTATACAGGACCACAGGGTGCTAGTAAAAACGGTCTGAAGAATTTGGTTTTCTGTAAACAAAATTCAAGGATACATTAAAATAGTTTTCGAATTCCATATTTCACATTTTGGACAATATTATACCGTATTAACGTAACCTAACGTAATGAAACCTAACCTATCCTAACCTAATCTAACCTATCCTAACTTTAACCTAACCAAATCATGGACAGATAGTAGATAATGGCACTAATTACGTGGGTCGTTCTCAGCCCATTACCGGGAGGTGATGTCCTCTCTGAGGACAGGTTGCTCCTCGCACTCGTAATGAGGCTGTACGGTAGTTAGTGATTACAACAGTAGGCTCACAACCAAGTGGATCGAAGACCGATTCAAAGACGAGGCGAGACGTTCGGGCACGTTTCCCTACACCCGATGTCTCTGTTCACCTACAAGTAAATAGGTACCCGGGAGTTAGGGAACTGTTGTGGGTTGTATCCTGGTGAAGGTCAGTAGTTGGCCAAGGTCGGGGGACCTTGGTAAGTGTAAGAGGCTTCCTGAGCGCCCGGCAGGAAGCCTCGTGCCTGGCCTGACTACTCTCCCTCCTGGACACAGTAGCCTCCTCACCCAGCGGGTTGGACACGTCCAGAAAAAAAGTCCCCTACGGGCTCACCATAGCCCGTGTTACTTTGAATTTTGTGTTCCGGGTAGCGAATCTTAAACAATAAACAACAGCTCGCGAGGAACGACTATTCCAGTAGCCTCCTCTCTATATCATGGCATCGTAATTACACTTAATAAAGATGATATAATTATGGGCAAGTAGAGTTTAACTTTAAGTAACCTTTGGAGAAATTCTCCACCTGGGTAAAGTTAGGTAAATGATCAGTTAGAATGGAGAAAGTTAAGGTACATAACTCAAAGGTTACTATGAAGAAAGTGGGAAACTTGACCTCACCAGCGTTGCCAACTCTTGAGGACACTCAACTTGTGGGTAAATATCGTAGATGAAACTATTATACTTGTGTTAGGGACCACACGAGACAGTGGGAATGGTTCACGTAACATTGTTGGCCAAGACGGACATTGTTGTAGAGCCTCTAACACGCTCACCGCTTCCTGTGACGCACTCTATTGCCCTCTCACCTCTCTCCTGTGACGCATTCTATTGCCCTCTCACAACCTCTCCTGTGACGCACTCTATTGCCCTCTCTCTCCTGTGACACACACTATTGCTCTCTCACAACCTCTCTCCTGTGACGCTGTCTATTGCTCTTTCACAACCTCTCTATTGCCCTCTCGCAACCTCTCTCCTGTGACGCACTCTATTGCCCTCTCACAACCTCTCTAGTCATTACTCTCCCAACTATTATTATTATTATTTATGAGTATTGTAATCATTCTCATCGCGTGTTTAATCTAGCCATTATATTGGTTATATAATACGGAATAATCCTCCTATTTTGTGTTATCAAATGTTAGTTATGTTTGGTTATTGCAACGTCAACATTTACATTTTATATAGTTATGTATTAGTAATTTTTTCTTACATTCATTTACATCATTATTTCTTTAGAGTTTACATTTTAGTTATCAAGTGGTTATCACAGAGTTGTAATATTATGCACAACGGACGATACGAGCGTCTAAATGGCTATGTTGTAGAAATGTAGATTAGGGAAGTATTGAAGCTACGAGCAAGGTATTACCAAACCTGGTCTACTATGACACACAGAGATCACATTAACGTGATGCATCAAATGAACAAATCCACAAGGGATGTGGGATGCTGGGATGTCTGGGATGCTCCCGGACACAGGTTCGAATCCTCGTCACGGCCCTTGTGGATTTGGTCTACTATGACCCAACCACACATAACGTGACCTGACCCAACCACACAGTAATGTGGAGGCGAGGTCACTGCCTTAGTGGCCGACATCTCCAGTACCTCTGAAGGGTTAGTTAGCACTGTTATCTGTTATAAAACCAGACTAATGGTGATGACTCACACGTACCAGACGAAGGTGACACTTGAAATTTGATATGATAGATGGCATGTTTCAGTTTTTGTTCCTTGACTAAGATAACAAGGATAGGGACAGGTGCACCAGTGATTTACCTACTCTGGCAGAGTTGTTGATAACCAGAGGGCCATCACCAAGAATATGATGACATAGTTACCATCTGTGATGTAACCTAACGACAGTACTTAGCCTTTCTTTATTCAGTGATAGCGAGCGATTTCGTCTGGGTTTTGACCCTGGGCAGAAGAGTTGACTGCTTACCAATCCTTAACAGTTCGTCTCTGTTTACCCAGCTATAAATGGCAACCTAGTTGTGAACCAATCAGTGGGTCGTATTTCAAGGAAAACAAGTAGGCTAAGTCTTAATATGATAACGGAAGAGGAAGCTCCCAGCCTGCTAAAAGGAGTCAGAAACTGTCTACTCTTGTATCAACCTGTGTAAACGAAAAAATAAGGCTTATACAGATGTGCACACACACACACACACACACACGAACAAGGGAACACAGGTGGAAACTAGGTACCCAAATAAGCCACAGAGACATTAGAAAGATTATTTTTTCAGTGTCAGAGTAGTTAACAAATGGAATGCATTTAGCAGTGATGTGGTGGAGGCTGACTCCATTCACAGTTTCAAATGTATATCTGATAGAGCCCAGTAGGCTCAAAAATCTGTACACCAGTTGATTGACTGTTGAGAGCCGGGACCAAAGAGCCAAAGCTCAACCCCCGCAAGCACAACTAAGTGAGTATAACTAGGTAAGTACACAGCTAGAATCTATCAATTCAAGCTAAGGAAACGAAGGTGCCGAAAAAATAGAAAGTTTTTTCTGAACAGAGTGGCAGACGGTGAGAACAAGTTAGGTGAGAAAGTGGTGGAGGCCAAATCTGTCAATAACTTCAAAACGTTATATGACAAAGAGTGCTGGGAAGACGGGACTCTTATAAAAAAATATATAATGAAAACCATACGGGTAAAACGCTTAGACATATACTGACAGTATGTTTTCGAGCAGGAAGATCCTGTGTAATAAATTTACCAAGTTTCTATAATAAAGCCAAGGAGATTTACAGGAAAGAGATGTTTGGGATGACTGCATTAATGTGAACCCAAAAATAAGGCTTTTGACCCAATCCCACATGACCACGTGAGATCTTTTTCTGAAAACTATAACATACTGGAAGGGTAACTGGTAACGCTCCTACGCGTTATTAGGGCCAAAAATCATCGTACTAG